CCAAAAAGATGGTAAAAAAACAGGGTGTCTCAAAAAAACGGGGAATAAGGGTCTACAGACTCCTTTATAATCGGGTTTTCAAGATTGAGGCCATTTTTAAAATCTATTTACAATTTCTGAGACCAATTTTAGGTTTGTAGATCTAAAAAAAAACAATTTTAAAGGCTTTTTTTTCCAAGTGGATTTAGTAATTTTGTAAAAATAAGATAATCTCTGTTTGCACAATTTTGAAGAGGGGTCTACAGACTTGCTTGTAATCGGATTGAGACCATTTTTAGTATCTACGCACTATTACCGATTTAATGAGGCCACTTTTTGGATTGTAGTTTTAAAATTAACAATTTTATAGGCTCCTAAAGTTTCCAACTGAAGCGAAGTAAAAAGTAAAATATTATCTCCGTTTGCACAATTTTGTATTCAATGTTACGTTACAGTTTATTACAGTACAATTGTTATGTTTAGATCCAGAAACCTAAATTTAAAATTCGGTGATGGTGATGGACCAAAGCTCTGTAGAGTAAAAAAGTAGATGTTAGTTCCACATTTATTGAAAATATATTTCGGTCTGGGTTGAACCTCGTCAGTTCTAACGATATAATAAACATCAAAATCGATAAAAAAAATTTTAAAAATTGATAAAAATCACAAGAAAATAAACAAACAAAAAAGATTATTCAAAAGCCTAAAAGTGGGCTCATTAAATCTATACTTGTACGTAGATATTAAAAATTGTCTTAATTTTGAAAATCAGATTACAAAGAAGTCTGCATAGACCCTTATGTGCAAACGGAGATTATCTTTACAAAAACTCACTCCAGTTGGAAACTTTAGGAGCCTTGAAAATTTTCATTTTTAGATCTACAAGCCTAACATTGGTTTCCCTGAACTAGAAATCGTAAATAGATTTTAAGAATGGTCTCAATCTTGAAAATCGGGTTTCAAACGAGTCTTTACACCCTTATTCCCCGTTTTGTAGACACCCTGTATAAAAAGTCGTAATCTTTGTTTGTCTGCACGATCATAACTAATAAGTCCCTGAACAGATTTGCCTAAAATTTTAATTAAGGAACTCGGCACAACCACGGGAATGTTCTAAGTCTGGTTTAAAAATTCTAAATTGAGTGGGTCGACTTTTACAGAGAAAACTCTAGACGAAGCTGGGTTCCCAATATAATATTTATAGTCTTCAATTTATAGAATTTATTCTTTCACTGCTAGATAATCATCTTGTAATGGCTAAATAATAACCGTTTAATGGCTAAATAATAACCGTTTAATGGCTAAATAATAACCGTTTAATGGCTAAATAATAAACATTTAATGGCTAAATAATAACCGTTTAATGGCTAAATAATAACCATTTAATGGCTAGATAATAACCGCTTAATTGCAATATAAATTACTTAAAATGTCAAGATTATCTATAATTGCCAAATAACTAGTTATTACCCCGTAATTGCGAGAACTCCACACACCATAATGAACTTGTTTGGTTTAGCGTACAGTTCGAAGTTCAGGGTTCGGAACACATTGCTCGTTTGAACAGACCTAAATACTTGGTATAATTACTCTTTTGAACAGAAATAAATACTGGTATTTTTACTCTTTTGAACAGACATAAATACTGGTACTTTACTCTTTTGAACAGACCTTAATACTTACATAATTACTCATTTAGACAGACCTAAATATTTGTATAATTATTGTTTTGAACAGACCTAAATACTTGTATAATTACTCTTTTGAACAGACCTAAATATTTGTACAATTACTCTTTTGAACAGACCTAAATACCTGAGCCCGCGATTTAAAAACTTCGGACTGAGACGTTATTCCTTAAACCCGACTTTAAGACCCGATCTTCGACCCAAATCTTGCGACAGCATGTGTCGCGTGATCGACAGCTGAAAGATCTTCGGCTAGACTTAATGAGTTAGGCCCAATGAACCTTGGTTCAATCTTGTTCTCATCATAACCCGGAATGCGCCGATTCCTGCCATGAAAATCCGCCAAATAGAATATTAAACCAGTTTTTTTAATCTCAACTCTGTTAAAAAATGAGATGCAGCTTGAATCCGAAAGCTCAAGCTGTAAAAAAGGCCCGACGCCAGCTTGGACCCGAGCCGTATTTTCCCTAATTTTTTAAATCGCGGGGTTTGTATAATTACTCTTTAGAACAGACCTAAATATTTGTACAATTACTCTTTTAAACAGACCTAAATACTTGTATAATTACTCCTTTGAACAGACCTAAATACTTGGTATTATTACTCTTTTGAACAGACCTAAATACTGGTATTTTTACTCTTTTGAACAGACATAAAAACTGGTACTTTACTCTTTTGAACAGACCTTAATACTTACATAATTACTCATTTAGACAGACCTAAATATTTGTATAATTACTGTTTTGAACAGACCTAAATACTTTTAGAATTACTCTCTTGAACAGACCTAAATACTGGTATATTTACTCTTTTGAACAGACCTAAATACTTGTACATTTACTCTTTGAACAGACCTAAATACATGTATAATTACTATTTTGAACAGACATACATACTTATATATTGCACTTTGGAACAGACCTAAATACTTTCATAATTACTCTTTTGAACGGACCTAAACACTTATATAATCAAATATGTTACCTTTTGAACCCACCATACCAGTTGTATTATATATAATTACACTTTGGAACAGACCAACATAATTACATAATCGTTACGTTAGTTTCATGAGATAGAAAAATATTTTTATTTTAATTAAAATAATCGTTTTAAGAAATGAAGGGAACTGTTTGAAAGGGAATACAAAACTGAGAATACAAAACCAGGATTAAAATTATGAATTGACACTTCAAGCATAATGGGATAAAAACTATTTGAATAATTTACTTCGTTTATGAAAATTCAATTAAATTATTTGAACGTTAATGACGTTTTCGTGATAATTATAGCTTGTAAACATTTTTTTATCCTGAAATGTTTTCGCAAATTTCGACATCAACATTTTTGGAGGCGAAGTTTATACAAATTTTTAATAAACATTTCCTGAAGTCATGTGGAGGGCCATACACAAAAATTCGGCCATTTTTTATGCTTTTTATTATTCAAACCAACCAACAAAAGAACTAATATTATTTTCTAAATTTACCTAATCCCTTCTCCCACCACCTTGGGATTTTCTGCTGGCTTTGAATCCTTCATTTTTCACTGATTAGAGCATTCTGAAACTAAACATTTCCTAAATTTAATAATCAAAGAGAGAGACTATAGTTTTGAAAAAACGTCAATTTTAGGACCACAGGGTCGAAGACCTAAACCGCCGTCCTCCGGTTCCTCCATACTTTTCTCAGCGGCGATGGCCGTCACAGCTCTAAAAGTCCTTGGTTCGGTAAACGCCATATTGGCTAAAATTTTCCTGTCCAGATGAACTCCGGTACGGGCGAGAGACTCCTGCATGAACCAGGAATTGTAGTTAAGCTCCCTGCACGCTCCCTCTATCCTCATATCCCAGAGATCCTTGTAGTCCTGCTTTCTGTACTTTCTTCCGGTGGTCACGTAGGTCAATGCCCGCTTGTTATATCGCTCTGCCAGCTTGTAACAGTTACGTAGTCGGCCCATAAAATGTGAGGTCTGAAGGAGCACCGCTCTTCTCCGCCAGAATCGGTCATAGCTCGGCGTTTCCTTTCCGAAAAACGGGTTTGTGTGTTTAGAAATACGTTGAAGTAGGAACTGACCCAACTGCACCATGTTATCTGAAAAAAATACTATCACAGCCAAGCAAAAGGTCGGAAGACAACTAACAAATAAAAGTGGCGTCATATCATCACATTAACATCTCAGTTTTCAAATAGATCGGTTTAAACTAGAATGAACAATTTGAAACCGGATCTTTCACCCTTATTTCCTTAATTTTGTCCACGGCCATTAATAATACATCTCAGGAGGTAGAACAGGGGGAGGTATTTTAAAAACAAATTACTACAATTAACCGTTTTTAAAAACAAAATCTGCTATTTAAACCGTCACCATCAAACTTTTAGCATTTTCATCATTAGACCCGGGGTCTATAATTTCTAGAAAAATCGGTTTTCTCCCCCCCCCCTGACCTCCTGCTCTTTTGAAAAAAAATTTCCCCCAGTAGTATATATATATATATCCCTGTCTAAGGCCACTAAATTTAATAAATCCCGCCCTCGTCCAGATTATCGTCTTCTTCGTCGACCTCATCCCCGTCCTCGAAATAGTTATTAGCGTAGTCCGTCCCTCCGTCCATCTCCTCGTCCTCCTCCTCCACCTCGTCCTCATCCTCATCCTTCTTCTCATCCTCATCATCATCTTTCTTCTTCTCTACACAAACAGAGGATTAGTACAAAACAATAATATAATAAAAGTAACTTCTTTGTTTGAATGTCCGATAATAACTTAGGAACCCATTTGTTCGTTAGAACCAAGGGAATGTTCTTAGCCTGGTTAAGAATGCATAAATGGAGTGGGTTTAATATTTCTGAGAAAGTTTGTTTCTAGGCAAAGCTGGGTATCCAAGCTATATTTATAAAGATGTAATCTCTCTTTGTCTGTTTGTACGATCGTAACTCAGGAACCCCTTAAACGATTGCCTCAAATTTTGATTGGAGAAGTCGAGATAACCACGGGCATGTTCTTAGTTTGGTTTTGAAGTTCTAAGTTGATTGGTTCGACTTTAAAGCAAAAATTTAGTTTCCTGGTAAAATCGACCAAGTGCGGGTAAACGGTGGAAGTATCTAATATCTATGAGTACCCTGGGCCACGCTGGGTTCCCAATCTAGTATAATAAAAGACAAACCTGGAACTCCAGCTTTGTCTGGAGTTTTCTCCATTAAAGTCAACCTCCACTCAATTTAGAATTTCAAAATCAGGCTAAAAACATCCCTGTGGTTCTACCGAGTTCCCCAATCAAAATTTGAGGGAAATTGGTCAAGGGGTTCATGATCGGACATACAAACAACCACCCAGACAAACAAGAGCTTACTTCTTTGTTTACAAAATTATGATTAAAAAAATTTAAAGTACAGAAACGTTCAGCTTTCATTTTTCGAAACTGGAATAACGATTCAAATTCAGAATTGGAATATGGTGGTAAGAGGAAAATAATCTTTGGAGAAATAATAACCTTCGTCCTCGTCCTCGTCTTCGTTCTCATTCTTCTCCTTGTCCTCAAGGTTGTGTAACCTCTCTTCCAGGTTAGGACGTGTTCTCTTCGCTTCTACTCGGGGTCTAGCTCCCTTCATCCTCTTCTTTACTCCGGGCCTGAGTTCAGCAGGGAGAAGACTGTAGTCAAGGTTGGCTAATACTGTATCCTGGTGTACCCGGAACTGCCGTGCCAGGTTACTGTGATATTGAAGCAGTTTTATCTCCTTCCCACCCTGATCAAAATAAAATCAAACCACTTATAAAAAAATCCAAGTTATGAAAACCCTCTTTACTTCTTACATTTAGGCATTAATCCCACAAATGAAATATTGAACTCGATCAATGCAAAAGCTTGTTCGTTCGTTTCTTTCAATGTTTGTTTTAAATCCCTTAATGCTTTTATTTCATATCATGAATTTCCTTACGGGGGGGCGGCCCCTCCCCCCGCCAAAGCTCAGGGGGGGGGGCGTGGGCCCAGTCCCCCCTCTCTAGTCCAACCTTGAGTATGATCAAGAATGAATGAGATATCGATAGTTTACTCTTTAAAAATTAATTACTTTCAATTGTGGTTTCTCTATAACAGGGACCTAGCGGATGCAGGAAATTGTAAGAATCACTCACTCTATAAACGACAAAGTTATTGATTAGATAAAAGTTTTAATGGTTTCGCTGTAAATCAGAAATGGACGTCTCTACATGTCACTTGAAATTACAACGTAGAACAACAATCCCATTGAATCAAAACAAATTTGTTTATGAAGATCTGGGGGAAAATGATTTAAGAAAACGTAACCCTGGTAAAACAAAAATCTCACCTTTTTAATATGTGTTGGTTTATTTATTAGAATAGGGAAGAGCTGAGGAGGGGATACTGCACCAGGAGGAAGATCTCCTCGATTTAAACCAAGAAACTCAGTGTTCAGGCTAAAGTACAGTAGTCATCGTATATATCAATACAATGAAGACGAATTTTGATTTATATCAGGCAGTTAACCAGAATGGATACACTTAAACGTAGAAGTCAAAAGAAGCTGTCAAACTTCAATAAAATGTCGTCTTCATTGCATTACAAAGAGGTTAAATAAGGTGTAAGGCAAACTCAACCAAACTTCCAAAAAATATAGACAGTCAGTTCAGGAATTGATATATCTCCTACAACTACATAACAACACATGAAGCCAAACAAGCAATGATTATTGATATTGTTCAGTTGATCTATCTATCTATTCATCTGACAGAGAATAATAATAAATCATCTAGAATTAGTGCTTAGAATCCGGATCCGTAGGATCAGCAACATTTTTGCTCCCAAAATCTGAACTGTGGAAAAAAGAGAGATCATTTAGAATTTCCTTCTCTCATCTCTGATTTATTAAGCTTCTCTCAGGGCGGATCCCCCCGCGTCAAAACAAAATGGATTTTAAGCACTTCCTTTTAAAATTATTTTATTCAACCCCGGCTATCAACTGTTAGTAATCCCCTGGTTAAAATGTCAGATGCTCGATTCACAAGCAACTGTTCCCTTTATCTCAGTATTACAACACACCTAATTGCCCAATCATCCTTTGTGATTCCATAAAATGAATTATGTATTATCTCTTCTGTCCTGTGGTAGAGAGATATTTTTACATAAACATTTAAAAATCCTTTTTTCTTCAAAATGGTCTAAAGTATTGTTTTTAAGAATTACACTCACCTCATACCGGCCCCCCGTCCACGTCCACGACCTCCCATTATAAAGAATTATTCAAATCTGAAAAAAATTGTTACAAAAATATGTTTCAGAATTTTTAAATAATTATAAATAATAACAAGGACAAAAAGTAATATGTCTCGCGAAATAATCAAGACTGACTTGAAAATAAATTTTGTTAGTGTTATAAGAATAATAAACTAAAAATCAACTTATAAAATAGCATCAAATATTTACGAAAAGAAAATAATACCAATTACAAAGGTTTTACTCAGATTACATAGATATTATAACAACGAAATGGAATTTGACCGAGCAGAATGTTATTTTTCATTATTTATCCCAAGAGGCAGTTCAGTAAAATAACATCACGCCCAAGTACAGAGTTATTCACACAATATAAGTTAATTGGGCATATTGTACTTATTACGATTTTAAAGAATTTTTATCTTTGTTGGGATCATACACATGAGAGTAGGGCAACATGTTTCTAATTTCTATTTAATAACCAATATGTTTACTTTTCCGGGAATATAAAGGGAGCAATTTAAAAGTCAGTCATCTTTAGAATGAACCCCTGTCAATACTCCAAGCTTCGGCAATGGTTTATCACAGAACAATTAATTAAACATCGAGTTAAAACGAGCTAGAGTTTAACCAAACATGGAGTCATGAAGAGCCTCTATATCAGTTTCTCTATCCTTCTCTCTCTTCTTCTGCCTTTTCATCTCCTCCCAGTCAGGGTCAGAGGTCGGTAGCTCAGCCCGGCATAAAGGACAAGAAGACGTTTTCTAAAAATAATTAATCAGTTGACATAAAGGACAAGAAGACGTTTTCTTAACATGATTGTTCAGGACAAGAATAGGTTTTCTGAACATTATGGTTCAGTTCAACACGACATAGAGGACAAGAAGACGTTTTCTTAACATAATTGTTTAGTTCAACAATTTACATACAGGACAAGAAGACGCTTTCATAACGTTATTGTTTAGTTCAATACGTTATAGAGGACTTGAAGACGTGTTCTTAACATTATTGTTCAGTTGAGCACGACATAGAGGACAAGAGGACGTTTTCTAAACATAAATGTTCAGATAAATACCACATACAGGACAAGAGCACGTTTTCTTTGGGACACCCTGTAGAATCAGCCAGAATGTGCCAAAGGTTTACAAAGGTTTACCTGAAGCCAAGGAAGCAGGCAGTTAGCATGAAAAGAATGTTTACACGGAAGAGAACTAATTGTTTCCCCCGCCTCGTATCCCTTTAAACAGATCGGACAAGAGGAACCGGTTTCTTCTTTACTCACTTCCATCGTCTCCAACTTCTCGATAAAATCACTAAAAACACAGTTTCATCAATATTGGGAATTTAAGATAAATATTTCAGCTCTGAGATGGGAAATATTTCAGCTCTGAGATGGGAAATATGTCAGTTTTGAGATGGGAAATATTTCAGTTTTGAGATGGGAAATATTTCAGTTTTGAGATGGGAAATATTTCAGTTTTGAGATGGGAAATATTTCAGTTTTGAGATGGGAAATATGTCAGTTTTGAGATGGGAAATATTTCAGCTCTGAGATGGGAAATATTTCAGTTTTGAGATGGGAAATATTTCAGCTCTGAGATGGGAAATATTTCAGCTCTGAGATGGGAAATATTTCAGTTTTGAGATGGGAAATATTTCAGATCTGAGATGGGAAATATTTTATTCTTGAGATGGGAAATATTTTAGTCTTGCTTCAACAAAGTCTGTTTATTTTAAATGTATATTAGAGGGGGGGGGTAACAAAAAAATTCGTTAAGGACTTTCGTTTTAGACTTTAATTCGTTTCTTCTGATAAGTTTACAAAGATAAAATAAACATTGAACTAAATGGTGAACACAGAAAACCTACTTTAGAATGTATTTGAATGTTCACCATCGAAGAATCGGCCGGACAAATGTCTTTTCGATTAAAACTTTTAAAAAAATAAGATTTTAGTTGTTTTAAAAAGTTAATTAACGCCAAAGCCAAAAAATTATGAAACTTGAAATTCAGTTTTGAGATGGGAAATATTTCAGCTCTGAGATGGGAAATATTTCAGTTTTGAGATGGAAAATATTTCAGATCTGAGATGGGAAATATTTTAGTCTTGAGATGGGAAATATTTTAGTCTGTTTAGGTTGTTCATTCCCTAGATGTTGAGGGAGGAGGTCGATCATTACTTAGATGTTGGAGGAGGAGGTCGTTCATTACCTAGATGTTGGAGGAGGAGGTCGTTCTTTACCTAGATTTTGGGGGAGGAGATCGTTCATTACCTAGATGTTGGGGGAGGAGGTCGTTCATTAAATAATCCTGAAAATTCTTCATCTCTCCAGTTTCCAGTCAGAATAAGAAACCGAGCAAACTCCAATAAATTATCTAATAAAATTATTTTAAAAATTGAAAAATTGGTATATTCCTGGAGAACGATTTTTGGACCCTATCAATTTTGTACATGGGTTTGACAGGAAGTGTCTTAACTTAACCTAACCCGTGGCCGCAGGACAGACCCGAAAAAGTAAACATGAGAAGTAATTTCTTGATAAGAAATGGGGTTTAATTCAGAAAGCCAGACAAGATACTAGTTTATAATACATGGACCACTGCGGTTTAGAAATACAAGGAAGCCGAGCGCCGCGGCTAGGTTAGGCCTGATATTTACTATTTCCATGAGTTCCAATAAACATTGCATGTGCAACATTACTCGACTAATACGGAAAAGGGGGGGGATCCATTTAAGAGCTCAATAAACATTTCCACGAGCCCCTAAATAGTTTGTTTTCACCTGGAGTGTTGGGATTATCATTTAAGGGTTCACAATTATGCTCCTCAAAATAACTCGTCATTTTTCTGAAACATTAATGTTTGTCGCCTGACATGACATACACTTAAATAAAATAAGTTCTACAATTTGGTTTTTCAAAATCAAATTATTAACATTTTTTGCCTAAATCTAATATAAATCTATCAAGAATCTGAACTATAGTCTGTCTCGTCTTTCCGCTGTCGAGAAAACAAATATGACATGAAATTTCACATTACGTTGTTGTTGTAATTGCGCAGAGGAAACAGAAATGCCGCGAGGTGTTATTGAAAAAGAAAGACGAAAATTGAAAACGAAGACGATAAAACAGAAGATCAAGTGCCGCGTTCAATTCCTGGTTTTGTTTTGGTTAGAATTCTGACGTAAACACGTGCGATGTTATTAAGCTATTTATTAAGTATTTACTTAATTTTCATCGTAAAAATAGACAAAAAAATGGATCCTTCGTGAAAATATTTTAATTCTGGCTATAAATTTAAAAGTGAAGAGTTATTTATTAATCGCGTTATGCAAAGAAATTGTAATTAAAGACTTGTTTCATTAAAATCTAAAATTTTTCAAATATTTGAAATTAAATTCAAGCTTTTTAGATGACAATTATGTGCCATACTCCTGAAGATTTAATCTGATAAACCTAATTCGCTTATTTAATAATTAAGTTGAGAAATCGTTAGATCTTTAACGATTTAATTTTGATTTAATTTCTTTCTGTACGAAATCAGTAATTTGTAAATTGTTGGTGTCATTAGGTATCTCTGGGTCTGTCCTAGAGAACGATGTTTGGACCCCCGCCAATCAATTTTGTAANATAAAATTAGTGTATATTATAGGGTTGGGTTAGGTTAAGCTCATTTCTGGGCCGAGCGCTGCGGCTAGGACGGGCTAGGGGGGCCAAGCGTTGCGGCCAGGAAATACCTCAATTATTCAACAATTTTTAATAAAATTAGTGTATATTTAGGGTTAGGTTAGGTCAAGCACATTTCTGGACCGAGCTCTGCGGCCACATGTCTGGGCCGAGCGCTGCGGCTAGCACAGGCTAGGGGGCCCGAGCGCTGCGGCCACGGGTTAGGTTAAGTTTCTGTAAGATCCATGTACAAAATTGATCAGAAAATTTTATTCTTTATTCCAGACGTGATGTCGAACCGGCAGAGTAACCAGCTGCCGAACAATCTGCCCCAGCTGCAGAACCTTATCAAGAGAGACGCAGAGTCCTACAAGGAGGAGTTTCTCCAGCAGTTCAGGTCGGTAAATATGTATCTTTAAAGGGAGTGTTCTCATAAATATAACATCGGGAACAAATAAGTAATTGTAATTTTTCTTGTTTAAAAAAATTATGTCTGTTCACAATTTACAGGGAAACTGTCAGTTTTTAAAAACTTTTTTCGGTGAAAGTCCAAGATGAACGTTCTTACTCGTCCATGCAATTTCTTGAATTAAAGCTATTATTTTTAAGATATTATGATTAATTAATTAATTCATTATGATTAAGAGTACAGACAAACATCTGTTCTTAAGTGATACAAAACGAGTTGTGTTAGATTTTATTCCTCTGATCTGAATAAGAAATTGTTTATTTTAATAATAACGAATTTTAATGAAACCCCTCTGAGATTCGCCAACTATCCTCTATCATATCTTATATTTATTAACTTTTTAATTGCAGGCATTTCCAGTCTACAATGGAGGTGTTTGATCTTGCTCCAGATAAGTTTAATACAAGCCTTGATGAACTCGTCATGTTTCTAGCTCAGGTTAGTTTTAAATAGTTTTTTATGTTTTTTTTATATTTAGTTATATTTCTAGAGGGCTACACTTTTATATCAGTGAGTGAGTAAGTAAGAAATTAATTTATAAAATATAACAAAAGATACAAAATAAAGTGTTAGAAGAGGAAATGTTGATCAATCCGCTAAATAAGTTTTGGGAATATTTCCTATTATTTCTCAAAAAAGAAAGATAATTTATTTTTACATTTTTATGTAATGGGTGGTAGATTGTTAATTATTAACATTTTTTGCCTAAATCTAATATAAATCNGAGATGATGTGATGGGATATTTAAAATAAATAAAAGAAAATTATGAAACTAATTTAAAAATAATGTTTTAGAAAACTTCATGTACTCTATGCTGAAAGACTCCCACGCTATCGCAGCTAAAACATCTCTAGAAGTTATGATTTCATTGTACAAGGTATTTTTGATTTTCGTAAAATTTTAAAAATCTATTTATTACTGTTTCATCGAAGAGAAAATTCTAAAAGATTCCATACTTACTAGGAATTTTTACATTAAGAATCTTTAACATCTTCTTTTTTAATGCTTGATTTAACTTCTCATGTTACAGAAAGACGTATGGAAAGATGAGAAGACAGTGAATGTAATGGTGACCGGAATATTCAGCAAGGTGACTAAGATCATGGTGACGGCGCTGAAGTTCTTCCTGGGAACCGACGCCGACGAGGAGGACGAGGAGAGCGACGACGAGACCATGCCGACCGTGAAGGAGGTCGCCCTCGCCAACAGGGTGAACAAGAAGACTAAGAAGAGGGAGAAGATGTTGCAGAACATTAAGAAGACGCACAAGAAGAAGAAGAAGAAGGACAAGGCCCCCGTGTTCAATTTTTCGGCCTTGCACCTGATTCATGACCCGCAGGACTTGGCGGAGAAGCTGTTCAGGAAGCTGGAGACATTGACGGAAAAGTTCGAGGTTAAACTCATGCTTCTAGAACTTGTCTCTAGACTTATAGGTATTTTAAACGCACTTAAAAGTTAAATTTTTTGTTTCAAAGAAATGCGCCAAAAGATTTGCAAAACAGTTAGTTCTCCCCAAAATATTTTTTCTAAAATGCGGGTTTTTAATATGGGACAAGGGAACCCTTCTAACCATCCATTGATTCATTCATTGGTTGATTTAAAGATAGAATGGTTGACCTATTGGTTTAATTTGGAAATTGGTATTTTTTATATATTCTAAAACCTTGTAGGAACCCATCAGCTGCTGATCTTGAATTTCTATCCTTATATTGCTCGTTTCCTTGCTCCACATCAGAGAGAGGTAAATTATTTTCAAGGGTTCATAGAGAACAAAAATTTATTTTCTTTAATCCTGAAAAAAAGATGAAATATTCTAAAAATACTGGGCAAGGGAGGGGGAACAAACGCACGTTTTTTTACAAAGCTATTTCTTTATTTACTAGTCATCATATATGGTAAGTACATTATTAGATTATAACATTTATTAAAAACAAATCAAATATTTAACTTAGACGTTAGGGTGAATTTTCACAAAAATATTATTTGTTATTGCAAAGATACAAGATACCTTGAAATGAGTCATTTTTTAAGTTTTAAAAAGTATTTACTTAATTATTTCCAGTTTCTTTACTTTTTAAAACTTAGAAATAGACATTTAATTTAGTTTTGCTAAATATAGTATCAGGGGGGTGACATACATATCTTCTTTGCCATGGACATACATAATATTACATCGGTACATATAAAATAATCTTACATTGGTATCTACAAAATAATATTTCATCGGTATATACAAAATAATATTACATCAGTATATACAAAATAAAATTACATCGGTATATACAAAATAATATTACATCGGTATATACAAAATAATATTACATCGGTATATACAAAATAATATTACATCGGTATATACAAAATAATATTACATCGGTATATACAAAATAATATTACATCGGTATATACAAAATAATATTACATCGGTATATACAAAATAATATTACATCGGTATATACAAAATAATATTACATCGGTATATA